CAATGCTGCCAGTACTGACAGTGAATAATGAAACGCAGCCTTTATTTAACATCGGGTGAACAAGGATAAAACGATGGTACACGGGTAATGTTTCCGAACGCAGCCCTAGCGAGAAATATCAAAAACGCACGCACATGTGGGGTGCGTTCCTTTATTTACTGCAAGTACTGATGCTATGACGTCAAAAAGTGTACTGCCAATAGCGTTCCATTTTAACTTCGAGAACTATCGAGGTGTTGCAACTTTACAAATCGGAACTTATCGCAGTACGCTTCGTTCAACTAACCAAGTTAACGTACATTACGTCCACTGACCACTGTATATTATTAACATTGTTTGTTTTTCGTAAACAATGAGTGAAATACTCAATGAAAATATAATTGCATTTATTGCAACTATACTAGTAGAAATTATAGCTGAGGATGAATCAAGTGATAGTGATAGCGATACAGAAATCTACAATAAGATAATCCTTGCCATTTTCAGCTCTTTTTGCATCCTCGGGACTAACAATTATTTTATATGATTCATTAGTTTCACTATCGATTAAGGTTATCTCTAAGTAAGTAGCCATCTTGAACTGCGACTGCTTTACCTCGCTGGCTGCAGTAGTTTCAACAGGAAATGACATCAAAATTCATGATGTCATAGATCTGTACAAGTGCTTTCGCAGTACACTGTAATCCATTTTGGAACGCCGTTGGTAGTACTGGCAGTACTTGCAGTAAATAAAGGAACGCACCCGTGGTTATGAAGCATGAAAATGTGACCTATGTGCCAGGAAAGCTCCTTTAGGGCCAATTTCACCAACCACGGTTAGATTAACCGACGGTTAAAGTTAGCAGGGTGGCCAACAGACATTCATATTCTCTCGTAACCTCTTATATATTGTCAATTTTACGGAGCTTTGTCTATCTGAAATTTCATCAGTGAGTGAGAATACAAAATGAATGATATTATAAATTACATATTTTTTGACGAATTTGCTGGTTACAATTTAGAAAAACGTCGAAGACCACGTAAAATCAAACCACGTATAAATTATTTAGAATTGTTTGACTTTTTTTCACATGTATAATACACTGTTTATTGCTTCCCACAAATTTCAGGTTAGAGCCAAGAGGTTACGAGAAAATATGTGTCTGTTGGTCACCCTGCTAACTTTAACCGTCGGTTAATCTAACCGTGGTTGGTGAAATTGGCCCTTAGGGAAAGGAACTCAAGTGCCGCGTTGCAATTGCAATATTTCATGGCCGACAGATTTTCTAACCTCAATTATCAACTTTAACGCTTAATATTTCGATTCGTGGGGCAGAGCAACGCTTTTCTCAGCCAGATTCGTTCGTTTTGGACAAAAACGTGTCTAATGAGTCTAATTTCATCGATTTCTAAAGTGACGTGGTTAAAGTAAACAATTCCAGATTTTTACCAGATGTTTACAAATTTTATGTAGCAAAAAATTACGACTGATATCAACTGATATGATATAAAGTTTGGAACGCTGTGGACAGAAAATGAAGAAATTATCAATGAAACATGGCAGATTGATGACGAACTTTATATTTTCTACACACATTTAATAATTTAACACAGGTATCACCACTCTGCCGCTATTCTGTTGTGTTGTGACCGATCGCAGTTTATGTTAAAAGTTAGAATGTTAGTAAAATATAATTAACCTTAAAGCTGATTCTACAATGAATCGATAGTCGGAAATCGTAAGTTTTAACCTAAATAGATGACTATGGCCAGTATTCATAGTCAGATCTTATATTTAAGACGATTTGGCTGCGTTCCGTTTCACGCATGATGCGCATGATGCATCTTTTATCCTTGTTATTCACCGAAACAAAAATTGTTAAACAAAAATAAATGATGCATTATGCACATCATGCATAAAACGGAATGCAGCCTTCAAGTACAGTCTTAAGATGTTATAAATCAATCAGAGGGCTGCATTAACAACTTAAGACATTACTTAAGACGGTCTGAAAATAAGAATCGACTATGAATACCAGCCTATGATTTTTTGCGTCTACAAGTTAATTATATATATAATTAATTAATTATATATACAAGTCGTGTGTTTAGCTCACACAACTAGTGGGAAGGAATAAAGTTGAATAAACTCCTTTCTACCAATGTAGATTAATTTTAACCTTGATTTAACTTATTTTTTTATCTTTTTTAAGATAAAAGAAGTAAATTAAACAGAGGTTAAATTTAATCTACATTGGTAGAAATGGAACGTTAGTTGTACAAGTTGACTATTAGCCAACTTCACCGATTCACCGATAAGACTTACGGACTACTGACTCATTTTAGAATCAGCTTAATATTTTGACTGTCAAGTTGACTTTGGTATTGAATTTAACTCTCCAGCACCACCTCGAAATTTTTGATAGTTTACACCTTGGGCTGTTGAGGGAAACAGCATATATTTTTTTATATCTAGTATATTATTTTAATGTCTTGTGTAATTTCTAACATTTTTTTAATGTTTTAAATCCTGAATTATTCTTATGTAGGTTCATAAAATTGTTAAAAGTGGATGATGGACTTTTTTTTGCAAAAATTTATAAGTTATTCAGATATAGGTCAAGGATAGATAAAAGCAGTGTTAAGACAATCTTAGGGGCCTATTTTGTAACTCTTAAATCTGGATCTATAGGTGGTATTTATAGTCAGATCTTATATTCAAGACCAGTACAAGATTCTTAAGTACAGTCTTAAGAAGTCATAAACCAATTAGAGGACCGCATTAGCGATTTAAGACATTATTTAAGACGGTCTTAAAATAAGAACCGACTATGAATACCGGCCTATAATAGGTTTTTGAGCCTTAAGCCATAAGAAATGGACGAATCGTAGTCAATTATTCTCCTCACATTCGATTATAATTGATCAATTTCTTATGGCTCAAGGCTTAAAACACCTGTTGTAGATCCGAACTAATGACTGTAACTGTAGCATTACAGTATCATTGCACAGCTTTTTTTACTATGTATAAAACTTGTGCAACGATACTGTAATCCTAATATGTAGCAATTTCTGATTGAATTTGCTGCCAGTTTACTAACATATGGTTTGTTCATTATCTGAAATTACAAAATTGAAAAATTATTGAAGTTTATTTAAATTATATTTATTTTATATTTCTCTAAACTATATTTATGTGTCATATATCATGCATTTATGTAATAATATCATAAATTTATGCACATATGTATGTCACACAGTTATAGATTATTATCGCACAAGTCAAATTAAATTTATTATCGCATAAATTAGAAAGCTTTTTTATATTGAATAATCTTTTATATAGTTTTAGGAAATTCTAACAAACCTGTTTTGTTAATGTAAAACTTTTATTCTTCTGTTAAGATAACTTTATTTCATTTCTCTATCTTTTTATGTGTTATATACAATTATTTCATTTTTTTTAAACAAAATTAAAGAAATGATACTTTTCAGATATATCTTACTGTAATCTTATTATTTGTTGGATAGTTTCTGACTTGCTGTTAGGCTGTAAATACAATTGTGATCAAACATGATGGCTTGGAATATTTTTAAATGTACTTTTGGATCATCAAGAAGTATTTTACAAAACAGGTGTGATATCTCTAATTATATATTGTATAATATATCTAATATGATATGAATCCCAAGTTGTTTCTATTTCTTTTTTTTTTTAGTAAATTTATAATACTTTGTTTATGCTATATCTTTATCTTATATAGATGGACTCTGGTAAAATTTTTCCTAGAAATTTTTATTTAATTTTTTAGGATTTCTTTATAAATTGAAGAATTTTTTGCAATTTCTATTTAATTTTGTAATTTCATAAAAATTTCTCAGACTTTTATAAATTGAAACACGTCCGACATGCTAGGAAAGTTTATATCTTTCCTAGAATTCTCTATATGTATAAATTACGAAATATTATAAAATTTCTTAATTTATATAATTTCTGAAGAAAACATAAAATCTGAAAAAGTTCAAAGATGTTAAAAATCTTAAAAAATTTTAAATATAAAAAATTCTTAAAAATATGATGAGAATTTTTCATTAAGGGAACATCAATATTTTATTTATCTTAGGTTATATAAGTATATTGTATAAGTATTTGTTTGGCTAAAGATATAAGAAAATAAAGATTATTTATTGCAGATTATCGGAATGTATCTATAAAATTGTCAAACCAATGTCGACAGTGAATCTTAAGAATGTTGAACATCTCTCTACTTTCAAAAATGACTGGTGGGATGAGAACGGCCCGTTCTATGATCTTCATTTATATGCTCCGTTCAGAATAAAGTTTGTGAGAGAGGGATTGGCAAACGCCGGAATCCAAATGCAAAACGCAGCTCTTCCGTTGGAAGGAGTCAAGATTGTGGATATTGGCTGTGGTGGAGGTATATTGACTGAGCGTTTAGCTAGAATAGGAGCGCAAGTAACCGGAATAGATGTATCGGCAGAGTTATTAAATATTGCAAAAGAGCATGTAAAATTGGATCCTAATATATCGAAGAGAGTGAACTATATTCAAACATCTGTGGAAGATTTATGTCAAAAGGAGAGAGAATCATACGATGCTGTTGTGGCATCTGAGGTCTTGGAGCATGTAGCGGATGTGCAACTATTTTTAAAGGTATACAAGGTGCCCCAGAAATAGGTGATAAAACTTTGGTATCACGTTCTACTGTCCCTAAGAATGAAAAACGGTGATATGAACATAAGTTCAGAAACTTCTTTTTTGAGATATAACTTTCTGTTCATCTCAAAAGTTTACATGAATAGATATCACATGAAGTAAATATGTGGTGGAGCAAGTGATACTGTCATCGAAGGCAGCTTATCGAAACTAAAATTAGTTTCTATCTAAACGTTGAAGAATTTCCAGACTTATGTTTATATGACCTTTTTTCATCCTTAGGGACAATAAAATGCGATACTAAATTTTGACCATCTATTTTTGAGACACCTTGTATATTACAATAAATGTTATAAAAATTATTGAATATAGACATAAAATTTAATATATTTTATGAATATTCTCTACAGAAATGTGTGGAAATTCTGAAACCTGGTGGATCGATTTTTCTAACAACAGAAAATAGAACTATAGCATCTTGGTTGGTTGTTATTGTAGCAGCGGAATATATTTTCAAAAAAATACCTTTTGGTACTCATGAATGGAATAAATTTATCACACCACACGAAGTTCAACATATATTGGATGATTGTAAGTTTTATTTCCGCTATTATCTAATGAAAACTGTCAAAAAATTATCAAAAAGACATTTTATTTTATAAAGATATTTATATATGATTAAAACAATTTTGTAAATAATTACTATGTAAACGCTTTTATATTGTGTCATAATTGTTTAAACTTTTTTTAAAAGGTGGATGCAAAACAAGATTAATTCATGGAGTAAAAATTAACCCATTGTTAAATCAGTGGTCTTGGTCGTCATGTACAGCAATTTTTTATGTCCTTCATGCAATCAAACAAAAAGAAGCTGACATATAATTTTCGGAACATACAACTTTTTTGTTATTAAAAATGCAGAATTATATATTTTCATCATTTACCGATTGTGATATAATTGATATTATGTATATGCTAAGAATTTTTACGATATGTTATATTTGTATGCATTAGAAAATCTAATAAAAAATGTTTTGTGAGATACGTGTTTAAATAAAACTGAAAGTTTGATACATGAAACCAATTTTAGATTTTAAGGAATTTTCAGATTGCCAAATTTTTGAATAAGTGTCAAACATGGATGCACTTATCTTGTCAGCAACTGTTTAGAAATTGAATATTGTATTGATTTTATGTTTTTGTTTATTGTAATTTTTCTATTGCTGAGCGTCTGCCTGCAGTCTACGTCAAACTTTCGACAGCAAAAGGATTGATGGATATCAATATTTTTATATTTTTCACATGTCAAAGTCCAATATTCATATTTCGCGCTCTAGAAAATATTTATCAATAGCCGCGTTTAGCAAAGAAAACTAATTAGTTAGCGCTTAAGACGGAATCCATAATAGACGTTGCTCAAGATTCGAGATGATCTTAAGCTAGTGCAAGAGTGCCGTATTAGCATCTTAAGACATTGCTTGAGATTAAGACCGGATTCCGTCCTTAGTGATTCTTTAATATAATTGATTCCTACACTTAGATTCAGTGAATAACTAAAGGCAAGAACCAATCATATTAAAGAAACTAATCGCTAGACACTTATTAGTTTTCTCTACTAAACGTAGCCAATCCTAATGGTCACGTGATTTCAATGCTAATTTTAGAAATATGTGAGATAAACACAAAACACAGTACACGTCTGACGTACTGTGTCCTTGTTAGAACTTGCAAGTTAGTCTACCATAAGGTAAGTATTTATATGTATTCCATTTTAAATTTCTATAAAAATTACTCATTTTGTGTAAAAATAAATATTCGAAAATTATAAATCATTGATTTATTATATTTTAATAGAAATAAATTCAAATATACGTTACTCTTTTTCTCTTTATTTCCGTTTATCTCCATTTTATTTAATTCAATATGTACTATAAAATATGGTGTATGGTATAATGCTTTTTATATATCGTCGGTATTTTTTTTAATTCAAAATTATAAAATTATTCAAATTTATTTAAATGTCTTCTAAATTTGTTACGCATCGTGTAGAGTCATTTATATTTTATATGCGAACATCTGTAAAATCTGAAAAATTCTCATAATTTCACATAATTACTTACAAATTTTAACCATTAAAACATTTTTACCAGGGAAATGTTAATGTAAGATAATCAAAAAGTAAAATTTATGAAGTATATTCCATATTTATGTAAGATAATATTTTTTATGTTACATCGTATGATATCTACTTTATATTATAAAGTCACATTGCACATGTGCTAAAATAGCTATACTTAAGCTAGAAAGAAAAACTTTTCTGTTTTTCTAACACGGTAAAAAATTTTTTATGCACGAATATATATGTAATATATATAAACATACATAAACATATATAATTATATATGAAATATGTCCATACATCGTTCTTTCTTTTTGAAAAATTACTGTTTAGCATAATAAAAATGATAATAATAATTATGCTTTTGAGGCTTTCATAGATATTTCTTCAAAAATACGACCAGAAGGTTTGCGAGTATTATCACCATGTCATTGCTAATGTCAGCCGGGCATTATAAAGATACGACGATAACCCGCAACCTTCTGGTATCTTTGATAATATTAATGAAAAAACGACAAAAATAATTAAAAGGATAATTTTCAGATTATTTATTTTAGAAAAAAATCAAGTTTCAAGAAAAATATAAAAGAATTGCTTATTATAATTATATATAAGCAATTGTTTTACATTTTTCCGCGAAACTTAATTTTTTATAAGAAGATACAATAAGTCAAAAAACTTTTTGACTCAGTCTAGTCCACTCCATCTGTTTACGAGGTGATACGGTCGTTGCCGGACATCCTGTATAAAGAATTCTAGAAAAGATACAGATCAGTATTTTCTCAGTATTTCTGAAGTATTCCAAAAATTTAAAACCTTTTAAAAAATCCATCATTTTCATCATTTTTCTAAAAAGTTTTCTGAAATTATATAGAAATTTTATAAAATTCTGTGAAAATTATATAAAGAATTCTAGAAAAATTTTTGCCAAGGGAATTATTAAATATAAATAAAATACTAAAAGAAATATAAAACATTTTATAATTTTTTTCCATAGAGATGCGTAAAAATTCTGAAACTAGGCGGAACGATTTTTATAACAACAATTAATAAAACTCTAGTATCTTTGCTATCCATTATTATAGCAGCCGAGTATATTTTCGAAACTATTTCTCATAGTTGGAATAAATTTATCGCTTTACGTGAAGTTTAACGTATGTTGGACAGTTGTAAGTTTTACTTTAATTCTCATTTTAGAAAAAGATCATCAAAAAGCATTTTGTATAGCATAAAGATGAGACTATGCATGAGAAAGCAATGATTACTATACAAATGTTTCTATGCTATCAATTTTTTTCTTTTTTTATATAGGTGGCTGTAAAACAAAATTAATTCGTAGCTTAAACCTTAACTCACGGACAAGGTCTTGGTCATCTACTTCTACGTTTCATGCATTTCATGCAATCAAACAAAAAAATAGTAGTATGTAGTTACTCTTCGAAAAGTACAATTTTCTCGTCATACAATGCAAAAAATAACACATTTTAATTCGTTTATTAATTATAAATAGTATCAACTCCTTTTACGATATGCTATACTTAGAATACAGTGTACTATGTTTAAGCAGAAAATGCATAATATATGTAATAATGCTTTAAATTAAGAAGCGTCATAACGGTCAGAACGTTAAGATGTTGAACTATTGTAAATTCATTTAAATGAATTAATTTCAGAAATGATAATTGCGTGCCGATATGGTTGTCAGACTTTCAACGCAATCAAATCTGAAAATATTAATAATCCCCCCAAATTTCACAACTTAAAAACTGTAATAAACTTATTGCGAAAAATAAGTTCGCACGGAATGCAAGAGATCTGGGTTAGACTCCCGGCCGAGGCATTATTTTTAGTTCAACATCTTAACGTTCTGACCGTTATGGCGCTTCTTAATTTAAAGCATTATGTTTAACATTAGCGGTCTTTCAATCTTATTATTATATGTAATAATACTTGGAATATGTAAAATTGAAAGATAATATATAGTATATTATCGCTCAAAAGTCATCACCTTAATTTTTTTTAGCCTTCTGTTAAAGAAAATCAAATGCGCTCATTTGACTCATTTTGATGGAAGTTGTACTCAAAAAATCTAAAGATGATACACTTTTGAACGGTATTGTAAAATTACTGTACAGTATATGAAAAGAATATATATTTTATTGTAATAAACTTAATTGTATTTAATATATACCTTGTGATAATACACTTCTATGAAAAAAAGAGGATATGCTATATTTAGAAATGATATCACACATCTTTTCTTATTTTATTAAATATAAAGACATTTGTGTAACAACGTATCGCATGAAACTCAAGTAAAAATTACGAGGCAATAAGGAAACAGTATTCTCTAAGAAAATTTTAGTTAATTATTCGCGAAGTTGTCATTTAAATCTTCTCTAATGTCTAACTTCAATGCAACTTCATGAAAAGGCAATCGACATTTACTTTGATATAGCGAATCCCACTCGGTCGTTCTCCATGTCAAACTCTGTATAAAACCGGCCAATAAATACATCACCCAAAATCCATAATACCTGAGGCAAATCCATACCCATGAAACCACTCATACATATTGTTTTACCAAATTGTTTAATCTAGGGAAAATTAAATATTGCATGATTTCTGTTCTAAAACAATTTAAACTATTATGTGAGCCATTTATATTCACCTTAAGGACATAATCTTCACCAGCAAGAGTGAAATTCTTACCACCTAGCGTGAAATTGATCGAGGGCATATCAGAAATCTGGTTACATTTCACCTTTAAATAATTAATATTAGTTATTCATATTGATAATCAATAATTTATTATAAATTAATTAATCCTTATTTCTGTAATTTACTCAATATTGTTGTAAGTTACTACTGTACGAAAGTCAGTTACTTACCATTGCTTCCCCACCAATAGGAGTAGCTCCAATCAATTTATTAATAGCTTCGATTTCTGATGTTGGTCCAGCTATCAAGGAAGTGCCTGTATCGGCAATAGCTTGGCAACCTTCCTTGCAGAAAGCGTGATCTGCCACTTGAACCCTATAGTATTATAGCGTTAACAATTTGCTGGCAAAATATGATCCGTGATTGTGATATGTAATTTAATCACATACCCATTCATCTCAAATTGCCAGTATCCTTTGTGAGTAACAGGAATATACGTGAATTCGCCTTCATAATGATTGGGATCAGAGCCACCCAATATCATTTCACCACCCACTGGAGCTGAGGGATCTCTGTATAGGTTTCATACTTTTTGTATTGTAATATGGAAAAACTATTTGAATGATAAAAACATTTTTAGAAACATATGATGCATACGAAAAAATTTTTACCGATTTAAATAGAAACTAAAAATAGGTTGCGACACCAAGTTTTGTTTGACCATGTTATAGAAGACGGGAGTCACTCCGTCGACGGATATCGTGGAGTAACCCATCCCCAAGATACCATCGAATTTCGCAGCAACAAAGGCTAATCCTGGTTCTACTATCGCTTCCGCGAATGTTTGATGCTGAACATCAAGGCTAGCAACCTATAGCAGGATCGATATTATTAATAAAATATTGTGCTTTACTTTGGAAAACAATAGCAGATAAATCTTTGGATGAGCTAAAAAAAATGCCTCGTAAAAAAAATGACTACACGGGGTGGATATATTTATATTTTATATTGTCATATTTACAATCAGAAGACAAAAATACATAAGAAATAAATAATCGATCCTTTTTTTACAAGAACGTAGCTCATCCGAAGGTTTACTCAATAACAATATGTGTTTTTAAAAAATTTTCATAGATTACAACTTAGTTGGAACTATATTAAATTGTTTGCGAAATAATGACTCACAGTCACTACATCTTCAGATAAAAATCCAGACAGGCTGCCAGTACCATAATGAATGGCGAATTCAGTACCATTTTTTTGATATGTACTGGATTTTTTGCTATCATATTTATTATGTAACACTGCAAAAAAATAGTAAATAAAATTGTCAAAGAGTTTAGAAATAATTTCTTTATTAATTTAAATGTATAATTAATAGCAATTTAAATCGTTAGATATATTTGTATTTTATGCTTTAACACATGTGAGTTATCTTATATCAAAGGTTATTGGTATTTTTAGAATAAGCGATAAATTACATAAACAAGACTATAAATAATTATAGAGCTTAGCTCCATAATATTTAGTTCATCAATGATCTTAATTTTTTAAACTGCCATTTTAAAGATTTTAAATATTTGTTTCAAATATAAATAGATAGAACACAATTCTGCAGCATTATTTCCATTCTACCAATGAGAAATAAAGCCTACAACGATCGAAGCTATATTTTTAGTGCTTAAATAATTTGATGTGAATTTATATACTACGTATCAAATTCTGCCAAACTGCATGCCGAATTAATTGCAGTCTTAAAACGTGATATCGACAGAACTACTGTAGTAATATGACAAATAAAATTGTCTAGCAATTTAATAATTTGATGTTCATAGGCATCTTGAAAGATCTTAATGATATTGATAAACATATTAAAATCTGTAAATAATTTATTGAGATTAAGATCTTTAGTATATAAATTCACATCTGGAATTATTTAAGCACTGAAGATTCAGCTTCAACCGTTATGGGCTTAATTTCCTATTGATTGTTTATTCACATGTACGATTCAATAAGATTCTCATTGTTTATTTCTATTCTACAATTTTATTTTTTATATTAATATTGAAAAAGGAAAAAGGCGAATTGAGATTATTTCAACGTTTGGAGTGATATTATTAAATATGTACATGTATATAAATAATAAAATATCAAAGAAGTAGTGACACTGTGATGTACTTACAGCAAGCAACGTTGAGAACGCTGCATTTCTTGGATGGTACCCAAAGGTTGGAGGAACCAGTGTCAAAAATTACTTTAAAATTCTGTGGTGGAGTTCCAATCGAGATAACACCATAATATTGAGCATCTAGATAATTAGATAGAGGTTCTGGTATGCCAGTAGTTGTAACCATACGAACTTGTGTCAGGTCAGTACCAACCCCTTTCAAAGTATTTCGAATAGAATCTGTCTTATGTAACGGAATTCTTAAAGCAACATAAAGAAGTTCCGTTATATTATATGCACATATTTAACATGTATATATCAGAGGAGATATTTATACATAAGAGATATATATGTACATACATACACATATGTACACAAGTATCTCCACTGATGCAAGTGACACTAATTTAAAAAACAATGAGTCATGAAAACCGTCGTGTAAGTTTAAGCTTTGTTCTAGAAGCTTCCCTATACATGTATAATGTAAAATAAAACAAAATTGCATGTGTAATGCAAATTAAGAAAAAATCTATTTCTTTAATTGGATCTGATAATCAATCTGAATTTTTCTAAATCATTATTCATGCATATTTAAAAGTATTATATAATTTATAGTTCAGATATTTTTAAATAAAGCTTTTTAAATAATCTTGATTCAACAGTGTGAACTGCATTCATTAACTATACAATTTTATACAAAGAAAATCACTTTGAATGAGCTAATTATATGTTACTTAAAAACTATATGGTAAACAAATGATAAGTAAGCAGTAGTGATGGGCTAAATGGGCTAAATGGTATTTTTTGCAAACGGATATAATTTTATTATTAGTTCAAAATAATCGGTTATTTAAATAATTATCGGTCATATGAACGGTTTTATGATTACTATTCATAATACCTTATATCTTGGTCATATTTTTTTTATTATTTCTCATTATTTAAATTACTTAAGAAGAGTAATCTATTTTGAAATATATTACATTATTTAAAATATTTGTGTCTAAACAAATAAATGTAGCGCTACATTTTATGCACAAAAATTGATGTCAATATAATTACTAATAAATATAGCTCAAATTTATTTTCATTCTGTACGGCTATATTTTAATTGAAAAATATCAATATGATTAATAATCATAAGGAAAAAGAGAGGTCATTTTTGAAATTCCATTTTTATTGTAGTATGATTAAATTAAGAAATATATAAATAAAATGTTATATATGATAATATTTCATTTATATCAATTAAGAATAAAAAAACTTTGAGAGCTAGTGTTGGATGTTATTGCAATCAAGTTTTATTGTATGTAACAACTGAACAAACAAATATGTTTTAATTATTGTATATGTATATAACAACTGAATAAACAAATGTTTCTATCCTTGGTTTGGATAGATCAATTTATCGTTCGCAAGATAAACAAACTTTTTTCTTTATCATTAATGTATTTGAAGAAGATCCAAACCAAAGATAGAAACATATTTGTTCATTCAGTTGTTATATACATATACAATAAAACTTGATTGCAATAACATCCAGCACTGGCTGTTAAAGACTTTTTATTCTTAATTGATTTAATTCATTAGAGCCTATAGAATTTCTATTATTTCATTTATAAATTTAATAACTTAAATAATTTTCTTTTTTAGAATTTGAAATTGATCTTTTATCTGCTTATAAAATTTAAGACTCGATAAAAATAATCATTTAGTCTGTTAACTGTTATTTTTCAAATTTGATAACTGTTATTCAGTAACAGATAACGAAATAACGCCCATCATTAGTAATCAGGAATTTGCTCGCTGCTATCTATGGGTCTGTGTTTTGTAACTGAACTAGGATATACTTTTGAAACTTGAAATGATAACAAAAGCGAGAAAAAGAATTCTAATGCAGTCTAGTGCAAGAATAAAAAACAAATCTTATATTTGGCCGTGTTCCAAAATTTACTGCCAGTACTGAAAATCTATATAGTGCACATAACGTAAGCTATAGATTTTCAATACTGGCAGTAAATTCTAAAACAAAACCTTTGTCTATTTAAGAATCAGAATAAAATTGAAGTAGTCTAAATGTGAACTGCTCTTTGTTAATCTCGCTAATCTCATTTGACGTCGTAAAGAAAACAAACAAGAAATCTTCAAAACAATCATCTCATTGTTTGCCTGCTTTACTCCGATAGGAAAACATAATTCTCCAAAGTTATCAGGTTAAGATTATTTATTATAAACACACGATAAATCGATTAAAAGTCGTGCGGATACGTGTATTGAGTATGAATCCGCGAAATTTACGCGTACTCACCTTTGGAATTCCGCTTCGATCAGTACAGCAAGTGCTACAATCGCAATGAAGAAACGTAGCATGTTTCTTGAATTTCCTCGGAGGTTGCAAGAATTAAGACTTTTAGAGACGTTGTAACTGCCCGTCTTCTTGTAAATCAGAGCAACACAGGACTCGATTATTGCTAATACTCTCGTCAGTCTTGTTGATCTGTGTCGATCAACTTATCTTGTCACTTGTCAATCACCCGCTCTGGCGCTCTCACCGATTGACCAATGCCGATTAACGACGAACGACGGCGTCGGCGGCGCTATATCATAGACATGTAAAATACATAGATGGAGTTTAAGCTCCGCGATGGGGGGGGGGGTTTAGTTGAGCTAAATTGACCAATTACAGTCGAAGGCAAGGAGAATAATTGGGTGCATTCAAGGCCATCACACGTACAAATAATTAGCTGCGTTCAGCAGACTCAACAGTTTTGCAACCGTTTCATGATTGTCTGCTGAGATAGGACCATTCTTCTAGATCTAAAAGTATGATCCAATCAGCTCGAAAGAAACTTCCAACAGTTGCAAAACGAACGTTCTGCTGAACGCAGCCTTTTAGTGGTAATCGTAAGGCCATAAGCAAATCGACCAATCACAGTTGAGCATTTAAAAACGCGAGATCTTAATTTTGATTGTGATTGGTCGATTTGCTTGCTACCTTACGATTACGTCTAAAATTTTTGTATGACGTGTGATGGCCTTCAGTACCACGACCGCTCACTGAGTGCTCAGTGAGTTCTTGTATCT